TGTGCACAGGAATCAGAAAGAAATACGGTAATATTGTCTGCAAACAGTGCATATCTGATCTCATTGTGGCCAATGTGTATACCACAGAATAGGGTTGGTGAGGAGAATAAGTGTACCAGGGGACCAGGGGGCTCTATGGAGATATTAAACAGTGAGACCGAGAGGGGACAGCCCTGGTGTGTGCTCTTTTGGTACTTAAAGTGCAGGAAGTCCTGCTATAAAGATCTGTGTCTTTGTATCATAATAGAGCATATTTATAAATTCTAGGAAACATATATTTAGCAATCCTGTTTTTTTCTTGAATCAAGATAACTTACTGGGATCTCTGCCTGTGCTGCAGTATTATTGTTCCATTGTTCCCAGATAAATACATCTTGTATTTGGTGACAAAGTCCATTAATTCCAGGTATTGTTTAACTTTTTTGGACGGCCTCTGTTTATTTAAAGATGGAAAGGTTGGGTTGACCAGTTTGTCTCAAAATGTAAATGGTTGGTAGGTTTGTCATTTTTCGGTGAAGTAAAATGTTTTTTCTTTTGTGAGTAGTGGTAGCAGGATTGATTTAGAATTTGAGGTTTTTAAATTGTATAGTTTCCACAGTACCCAGTAAACAAATCTTCAGGCAGCAAATAATAGGAATGGCTAGGTTAACTGACAGGAAGGAGGTCATCTTAGATTAGTAACTTTGTATTATATATGCTGCCAGATGACATGATAAAAGTCTGCATTCTCTCCACAGCCTTTAAAATGCAGTGTTGTGAAGGCTGCAGACCCAGCTTCTGTAATTTTACAGTGATATTTTATATTTGGTAGAACATTTTGAGTTGCATTTAACCTATCCTTGTAGGAGGCAGCTGAGGTCATGTAGGTCTGTTAAAATTCAGACCATGTTTCTCTGTCCATGTGTGAAATGTGAAACTTTCGTTTATTTTGTGAAATTTAAGTGTGCTTTTATCAATAAGATTTCCTGGGATGGTAATGGGCAATTTCTGTATACCAGATTACTAAGGGGCTGATTTATAAATGTGCTGCCCAGTGTATAGCAGGGCAGATGCAGTTCACACGGCATTAGTGCCCCAAGATGGCGCCAAGAAACATTTCAATGCTCCTCAGCGTCATCTACTGGCACTAATGCCGTGTAAACAGCATCCGCCCTGCTTATAGTGTAAATCAGCCACTATATATATCATGTAAAGTCACTATTGAAGCTTCTGTGGCTTGGGTTCCTTGGACAGGTTGTCCTTAGGTGAGACCAATAAGTCATGAATGTTTATAATTACAATGTTCTGCATGCTCTGCTCCCCGCTCTCCATCCTGAAGAGAGGATCTCCATCTCCAGAGAGAGGCGGGGGGAGGGGGTTTGTAACACACCCACACACACTACAATGAGCACTGGTCCCTTCACAGACCAGCGCTCATTGTATTGTATGATGGGATTATCCGTCACTGGTTGTTAACGAACTGAACGATCATGACGGGATAATCCCGTCATCGGTCGGGAAGGGGTTACAGATGGAAACAATATTCCAGCTGTGATTTTTGTAAAGCAAGTTTCAATTTCAGCATTTTTGGGTTTATATTAAAAACAGTTCCAAGAATTGATTTTCCAAAATTGTTTACTTGCACAAATTGCATGTTGAATTTTTCTGAAATGACAAAGAATCCCATGTAAACCATTGTCTGAGTCTTCAAATGGAAATATGTTGGCACATTTAATGCTGGTGTGTTGTATCACAAAATTCATTAGAGGGAGAGGAAAGTATTAGCTGTTGAACAATTAAAGGACCCTTTTATTTTCTGTCACATCCTTTGCCACTGCATTGAACTTTGAAATGATGCAGGGCATGATCAAATTGGCGAGCAGGAAAGAGTTCGTTTTAGGGCTTGTTCACACCAAATCCGGACCAGATCTGCATGAGTTTCTGCACATGCAGTGCAGTGTGTTTTGCCGCGTTTTTACCACGTTCTGGGCCGTTTTTAAAAAAATATATATTTTTTGCCTAAATTGGGCTTTCAGTGCGTTCCGGGGCGTTTGCGTGCGTTTTTGATGCATTTGTATGTGTTTTGGTGCGTTCCAGAGCAGAAAAAATAGGGCATGCTGCAGTTCTTCCACATGCTCTGGAACTGAACGCTGTGATGTGAACTAGAGCCCAAAATACCATTGGAATACACTGGATGCATTTTTGATGCATTCTGTAACTGCATCTACTCCGCACTTGGTGTGAACAAGCCCTCAGTGATGATAGTTTTGTTCTGCTCAGTCTGATCTGCTGTAGATAAGGGCTCCACCAGCTGCTGAATGTAGCAGCAGGGAAGACACATTGGAATTAAAAGAGTGTTTGAGCTGGCTAAGCTGAGACACTAGATATGTTATTTTATTTTTGTTCATGGAAAGCATATCATTGTGGATAAACATGAATTCTTGATTAGGACTTTTAATTCTTTGAAACAGATCTGAAGATTTGTCTAGTTTCCCTTCATGATTTTCTAAGTGTCTAATTTCCCCAATCTCCAAAGTGTTCATATTGTTGCTCTTTTTAACAAGCATTCAGTGGAGCCATAATGGAAACATCTAGTGAAGTAATATGGAGGCTACCACTGATCATCTCTCTCTTTCTGAGGTGCTGGCAGCAGCCTCCAAAACCATCTTATGCAGGCTGAACTTTAGCTTTGCCACCCCTTCCTACCTCCTGGGCCAAAACGAATGTATGAGGGCGGGGCTTATTGGCAGGCTGTGTCAAATCTTTGCTTGTCAGGAGACTGCTGTTCCCCCCACTGACAGTCTCTTTAGGACTTTTTCATTTGTGTAAGCAGTGGTTGAAAGAGTGTTTACCTCCTCTGGCTCATTCAGGTCATTGCTTTTAGCACAAAAGCTTCCATCTCTTAGCACTAAAGCTTCTAGCTTTTAGCACAAAAGCTTCTATCTCAACTAACAACTTCTGCTGGGTGCAAGTTTTACATATGAAATATGGAGTAAAAATATTTTTGACGGGTTTTTTTTAGTACACATAAATTTGTTTACTACACATAAAAAAAATTCAATCCTTCATATATTCCCTTGAACTTAGCTAAATCTGTAAAAGATTATATTTTCACAGACATTGCACATATAAAAACTGTGTAAAAGCATATTTTAAATATATAATATAGTATAGTATAATATAGTAATATAAAATACTGTATAAGTTATAAATATAATAGTTTTATGTCTGCACTTACAATAATATGCAAATATTTCTATTCTTATAGGTCGATCAGACATACTGCCATGCACAACTCCATCATTTGAAGAAGCTACAACAGTCTCTATTACTACGACAATATCTTCAACGTCACTTTCAATTCCAGAACGTTCTCCCTCTGAAACTTCAGAGCAGCCTCGTTATCGGTAAGTGTCGGGATATAAAGGATGCAGTGGAAGTTGAAGATTTTATTTTATTTATATATTTTTTATAACATTCATTTTGGTTTTTACTATGATGGGGATTATTCTCAATTAAACAAGTAAGAACTTTGGCCACCTAGGTCTTTTAATGTAATGGGTTTATAAATATCTTGATTTTGCTCTAGCTAAAATATTAAACATATAATCAACACAGATGCATTATAAGTCTTCCGATTATGGTGCCAGTGAAATACAACACACTAACACACAATTAAAAAGAATAAAAAGTAGCATTTATATAGGGTTGAAGAACTATGGCTAGGGGGTGGTTGAACAGGCCTGTGTTCTATTACAGGGCTCTTTTGCGAATAATGCTCAAAATTTTGAAAAACGTAACCTTTCCATTAAACCCACTGAAATCTTTGAGTGGTAAATCTTGTTATTCAGTTCAGGCCATTTATAGGGCTAATATGCATTTTTATTGTCTAACAAAAGGCATTGGAAGCTGGGCACTACCATGGAGGAGATGTAGAAATTCCATTTTCTTTTAACCCCTTCATGACTGAGCTAGTTTTCAGTTTGTGTTCATAAATGACTGACACGCTTTTTACATTTTTGCTGTGTGATTCTTCCACAGCAGTAATATACTTTCTAACCAAATGTACCCACACATATTATATATTGTTTTTTAGAGGACAGATAGGGCTATATAATTATATCCAACATGTACCTAACGCCTCACTTAGTTTGAATCAAATATAAAAAATGAGGAAAAAAACTAGAAGAAAACACTTTTTTCACAAGTTTTGATTTTTTTTAAATTTTTTATAATAATTATAGTATAAAAATATATTTATATAGCATTTTTATTTTCCTAATTTTGTTTTACACTTTATTTTTTGATACTTTGTAAAAAAAAAAAGTAAAAAGAACAAACTTTTTTGTCAGTTTATATCAAGCAGTCACTATGACTGCTTGATTAACTTTTTAAAAATTTTTTTGGCTATTATTAGGCTGCTCCAAACTTAGGAACAGCTAATAATAATCATAGAGACTGATCCTGACAGCATGTCAGATTCAGATCTCACTAAAGCTCTTTGATCGTGCCTAGACGATCAGAAATGATACATTTCAAGCAAAGAGATACATTGTATCTCTTGTATCTCTTTTCTTGAGATGTATCACATAGCTTCATAAACATCGGGCCAGTCTATGGAGCTGTCAAAACAAATAGCAGGGAGGTGAGTCACTCTGCTGCCTCTCTGCTATTTTCAGCTGTCAAATACTGGAGCGCTATTTAGCGCTCCCGTATTTGCATGTAATGGCTTAATTCTTTAATTAATGAAAGAAATAAGCTTTTACAAAAGCTTAACTATTTCATCAATGAATGCCTCAATACTGAGGCATTCATTAATGACTGGTAACTGCTGAGAATCAGCAGTTACCAGCATTACAGAGCCTGATATAACTCGTCACATACAGTGTACGTGGCCAGTCATATAGGCACAAAGTGCCCGGACGTACAGTGTACGTCTCCCGTCATGAAGGGCTTAAAATACTATAAAGCTTCGAGAGGGCCTTTTCATGCAGCTTCGACAACAAATTAAAAATACACAAATCTTTTAAATTACAGGTTTGGGGGATGCCTTAAAGCTGGATGTGGTGTTACGAAAACTGATTTTCACGGACAACCTAGGTGACAGCTTTCTCTTGCAGCTCCTGTTTGGCTGTGGAATTGATTTTTCTCTTGTACAGTGAACTTGGCTTTTATACAGCAGCAGCACCCCAATCTGATTGTTATCAGTTTTAAATCAAAGGCTTTATTTCATGGAGTTTTAGCAGCATCACACACTTTTTCATCAAGAAGTACTAAGACTGCTTTGACTGGTGAAAGAAGCAGCCACAAGAGATCTAAAAGCCATAGTTAGGTGAGATTTGTAGTTTGAATGCAGATGCAATGCATCATATGATTTGTAGTTTCACCACAGCTGGAGTGCCAAGATTAGTTACGTCTGGCATTATTTAGAAGGTTAAAAAAATCATAAGAGTGAATAAAGACATTTTACACCAACACATACCTTAGGTATGATTTGTTTAAAATTGACCAGCAGTAGGACGCTAAAAATAACAGGTCCAAATTGGGAGAGATGAGGCAGGTGTTTTCCGGCAACAAAGATTAGAGTGTGGTGTCTGGGCAGAGGCGTAACTAGAAACCTCAGGGCCCCGGTGCAAGAAACCGTTAAGGCCCCCCCCCCCCCCAAAAAAAAAAAAAA